CTAATTTGATCTAAGTGACCAACCAAGGTTGAGCTTTCATACATGCATAATACACATATCATACAGCTTAGAGCTTTTAGCTCACGTGACCATACACTTCCTTTCATAGAGGATGCTCTGGGTTATATACCTCATGCTGTCAAAATAATGAAAATAGAGGTAAGTTGGTCCCTTCCCTATAGGGAGGGGGTGTTAAATTGCCTAAATATATAGGGTAAAAGTGTCACACATATTCCTTCCCGTTCGTGATATAAGTCGCTTTGAGAAAAATAGCTTGGTAAAAAACTATAGTCACCTGAAGAATAATTAATTTTTATTTCTTAATTTTGTCTCTACAATTAATATTTAAATATAACTTTATTTTTCTCTCTTCTTTACTACCTCATTTAATATTAATAAAATTGAAAAAAAGTAATTTAAAACATATTTAATGAACTAAATTGACTAATATTACGAATCAGGGAGTACAATGATTAGTTAGGAGGCAAAAAGTCTTTGTAGGGCCATTTGTCCCTTCTAGCTATAATACCCGCCCTGCTATTGCATACAGCTAACATTTTTCTTTCTGCCTTCTTTTTCCCCTTGGCAACAAACACACACACTAAAAGTCAATTATCATCTTTATAACTTAATAAAAGACCTAATTAATTAATTTAGAGTTAAGAAAATTAATTAAATTAGTTATTTATAATAAATAAGTGTTATTTTTCATAAAATACTCCTGTTAATCATATGTATTAGCTAAAACTATCATTTAATAAAACATTCAACACGTGACTATTACAAAGACTACTTTATAAAAAAATAGATAAATATAAAAGACAAAATGAATTAAAATTTTATATTTAGTATCAAATTAAAAGTTAAGCTATGTCTTATGTTAAGTATAGGAGGCAGCTGTTACCTTACATTAAGATATCACGTTTACATTTATCATCAGCATCAAAGCATTAAGTTTTACATTTGAGGTTTTAAAAAGTGATGTTATCTAATGCAGGGGATAATGAAAATGGGTAAATGAATAATGAAGTAGAGAAGACAAACCTGGTTGGTATAGGCATTGCTACACATGAAGATACCTCTCACAATTTGACCAGTACCGCCGGCGATTGCCTTTGCCAGAAAATGGTTATAATCATCAACCCTCGGAGCAAACTCCTTCCAATCAATATCATTCTTCCTACTGCTCGATTTCAGTCCGGAGAAGCAAGCATGGTCCTTCAAGAACGAATCCAAATACCCCAAGTTCCCAATACTCTGTTCTGAGAACGTCACGCCATAGCTCAGAGGCTCGCCGTCTTTTACGGCCAGCGAGAAGAGGTAGTTCACCGCAGTGAGCTTCACCACCGGCTCGTCCTTCGTCAACGGCCATTGAAGGTCGCCGCCGAGGATTCTTACGATTGTGGCCAGTGACTCGTTATCGTCGACGACTCTGACGATTTCGAAGTGGCCTTGTGCCAGTTCGATGGCTTCGCCGTCGTCCATGAGATGAACTCTGCATCCTGGGAATTCGAACAGAACTTCTTGCCGGAGATTTCTGGGTTGTGGTGGTGGTCCTGATGAGTATTCTTGAAAAGAGGTCGCCATGGGAGGCTGAGTTCTTGAGCCCCGGAAACAGCAACCCATGTCTCCGTCTCCCTGTGATTATGTTTGCTTCCGTTGGGGACCGCAAGTTTTGGAATATTAATGAAGATAAAGGCAAGCAAGATGAAGAAAAGGTGATATGTTTTTCTTTTCTCTTGTTCGCTTTATTCTGTTCCTGATATAAACTAGTGTTACATATCCAAGGGGATGAGACTTTCGGTTTCGGTGGAATATCGAAGTTAAAATCAAAAGCATTAACATGTAGGATTCGTCCAAAATAATTTATAAGTAGTTTTTTAATCATAATTTACAGAATATGAGATAAATATATTAAAAGAATTTTATCTCATTTTACGTGAAACATGTTTATAAATAATTTCAACCGTGAAAGCAAACAGGACCTTAAGAAGTGTTTGGATATTCTCATAAGTGCTTTTAGGGCACTTTTTTGTAAATTAAAACAAATTCTTTTATATATTTATTTTTGTATACTATAAAATTAATTTTTATCTTTTTTTGTTGAAAAGCGTGCAAGTGGAATTATATGGGAAACAGCATATTTTGGTGTGAAACGAGGACTTTTGTGGTTTTTGATGCTTATAGGTGTATGGTATTGAGATTTTCCCGCGACATTTTCTGTTCATTTGAGATTATTTGGGACAGGGGAATCTGTACTGGTGTGGGAGATGCCTTTTGCGAGGTTCTAATGGATGTTAGTTGCCATAACCACCACTCTTTAGCGTGGTGGATGTGAAATTGAAGATTTTGCGGAATCTAGTTCTGATTGCAAATGGATGATGCTCTTAATTTTCTTTTTTATGAAGAATGCTTTTCTTCTAGCGTAGGAGAAGGATAAGCATCATATAATTCATATTTCCTTCCTCCGGTTGTTGATATAAGCTAGCTGGAATGTTAGGTTTAATTTTAAATGCTACCCCGGTCCTAATTATAAGAGCTAGTTGATTCATTTGAGGAAATTAAAAAAAGAAGTTAAGTTAGTTATTTGTAACAAATATATGTTGTCTTTTCTAAAATATTTTTACTAATCAAGTGTGTTGGCTAAAACTATAATTGTTAGAATGACTACCTTAAAAAAATTGAGTAAATATGAGAAATACAATGGATTAGGATCTTATATTTAGGACCAATATAAAAGTCAAATGGGATCTTATATTAAAGACCGGAGGTACTATAAAAATTTCATTAATCTTATTTTTAATATTTATCTTTTTTCTGATAATTAATTTACGTAATTTATAAACTAATATATAATCTAAATTACAGTATCTTTTATATTAAAAATTGGACGGAATAATATAATACACATTTTGCCTTGCAATCGGTACATAAGTTTGAAGATTTTTCCCCCATTCGCCTATTGAAAGGAACTCATATATCCATAATGCTCACAAAAGTCAAGGTCATGACCTCTTGCTTAAGTTAAAACTTAATGATATGTTTAGTGTTAGCCAAATGGCTCTAACAATTTTTTCAAGATACTACTTATGAAAAAATTTGAATTACATATTCCATCATTGACATTTAAAAATACACCATCTCTCAATTCTCATGTTATTTAATTGATGTACAAATGTAAAACAACAATTAATTTTTACACATCACATAAATTTTATTATTTCCTTGATTTGTATGTTTTTCAATATTATTGTAACTTAGTATGACCAAGGAGGTATTACAATACTGTTGGCATTTGGAAATTGGGTCCTTTTATGAGCTAAACTAATCTTGAAAATCCACTAATCCATTTATTAAGCCACTGAATCAATACTATACTATTATAAACAAATGTAGTTCTTATTTTGAATCTAAGGCCAAAAGAAAATATTAATTATTATTTTTAGAAGATCAACGGTTATAAACTGATAATGTTAGCAATATGTGTATTATGAATTTATTTGTTTTAACATTTAGGAGTTTTTCTTAAAAAATAATGACAACCAAAACATTTAGGAGCCTAGAATTAAAGAAGAACTTATCAGAAATTTTGTATATGAATTGCAATAATCAAGTAAGCATTATGAGTTGGGGCCTTGCCACCCGAACGACACAAGTTTTTTTAAACGTCTGGCTTTGAGTTTGAACCCTTTATAGAGGGTACCATGAGTGCATTAATTATGATAATAAAAAAAATAATGTAATTTTTGGACTTTTGAATTTATTCTCATTATAGTTTTGCTCCCTCTAATTTCAAACCACATGTTTCTATTTCTCAAGTTTATTTTCATTTAAAATGTTGGTCTCTGTAATTTAATAAAAACTCGGGTCATTTTACTTTTTGCAGAATCAAAATCTATGATTTAAAATTTAAGTCAAAACTAAAAATAAGGACAAATTTAAAGATCTAAAAAAACAATATGAGAAACCGCAAGTCCTAGTCACAACAAAGTACATAAAAAACCAGAGATAAGGATTTATTTGTTTTTCTTTTCGGGGGGTTAACCTTTTTTTTTTTTTTGGCTAAAGCATCGGTATCCTCCTATTGAAGGTAATCCTATTTGAGACACTGTTGGACACTAAATATGGACACCTCTCCTAAAAGAGATTCGAATTTTAGTTCACCACGTTGTGGGAAACTAGTCCCTTCATTAGAGCTGGAGGGTTAATCTTGTTGCTGCTGAAGGATGAAGTGGAGCAAGAGCAAGGCTTGAAAAAGAGCCCAAAAAAAAAAGATCAAGGCCCGAAAGTGGATTGCTTGGGCCCACAGGGGAGGACCCAGCCCAACAACAATGTAGCCATAGAAAGCCTAGAAATAGATGATTTAATTGGGATTTGGGAGTGTACTTGACATTTTAATTTTATACTCTTTCAATTTTTAATATAAGACTTATTTAATTAATTTGATTAGATTAAAAAAATTAAATAAATTAGTTAATTGAAAAATATCATTTTTAAAAAAAATTAATCTTCTTAATTCTTATAGTTTTGATTCGATGCAATTCAGTTTTCATAATTTTATCTACTTAAGATTTTAGTCCCTTATTTCATAAATATGTTATTTTATTTAAAACATGAAAGACCAATATTTTAAATAGTTAAATTATAGTGCTGCGCGAAGTGGAAAATTAAGTTACAGCTGAACTTACAATTTGACCAAAAAAAAAAAATTAGAGTGATAGTACAACCAGTAACGTGATCATATTTTTTGGGCGTATACAGTATTTTAATTTTAATCTTATTTATAATACATCTAATATTTAATCTTATTTTATTAGTGTATTCAGTATGTTGATATTATTTTTTTAATTATATATAGACCTCATATTTAAGGTGCTATGTGTACTAAAAATAATCTTATAATGGTATATTGGGGGTGGGGGGGGGGGCAGAGGGTGTTGTATAATCTCTTACCCAACAAATTATTTTAATTTTTATTTTCTCCCTTCCCCTCCCGGCCTGTCCGCATGGGCAATGGACCTCCAGTTCACAGTAGCCCACAGAAAAATCGACATGCCATAACCAGTTGTTGTCTTCGGAATCCTTGAGCCTCCCTGCCTGGCCGGCATCTTTCGCTGCTCAAATACTGTTAGCTCACGTTCACTTTCTGTAGATTCTTGTATAGATTCGTTCTTACCTTTCCACGACATTCCCACTCTCATTTCCGGCTTCACTTTAATCCTTTCATTTTTCTTTGATTCAGATTTCATTAAGCATTAGAGGCGCCGAATTCACCAAAGTATGGTGCTCATAGCCGCCTTGGCATTGGTTCTCGGTTTTTTGCTCAGTATTTTGGTTTTCACACAGAGAGACGGCAAATCTAGTTCGTATTTTTACTCCTTCGTAAATTTCGATAAGTTCTATGCATACTTATGGTGATTTATGAAGTGTATCTAAATCACTTTTTGAATTATTTTCCCTCCTCAGAGCATCCGGGAAAGGGCCAGTTCAACTTAAACGATAACAAGGTATGTGTTGTTGCAGGAAATTATTAATTTAGCGCTTTTTCTTTCGTTTCGTTGGGAGCGAGTTCTACATTGTTGAATTTGAACCCTTAGGCTCATTCATGTTGGTTTCTGTTTTGCCACTAGTTATTTGAGAAAATATAGTAACTGAGCAAGAGTGTAAGCCTCCAGCTATGGCTGATTCGGATCAAGATGAAAACCTTTTGAATAGTCAATAGTTTACTGTCTTGTTACTAACTTTTAACCATTTGGTGGGCATTTTGGGATTCTTGTCATTCTATATTTAGGCTATACTTGAAAAGAAACAAACTCGTTGATGATATGGCTTGTAAACTTGGCTGTGGCTTCTAATTTAGACCAGCATCTTCGGCTTCCCAGTGATGGCTTGATGATGTTTGTGAATTGTGATTTGAATGGATGCCTAAATGTCAGGTTATTAATGTAATGCAACTTTAAATCCTTTGAATCAGCTTTTCATTTGGCTTTTTGAGAAAATACAAGAACTTCACAATTTGGTACTTCAGGGTGGAAGTTGATGGAAGTCAAGAAGTGGGATCAGAACGTTTTGGATGCTGCCGTGGCTCTGTTGGAGAGCCTTTCTTACCTAGTCCATCCAACTTTTTTGCACCTTGAATTTACTTGAGTGGAAAGATAGAATCTGCTTCGTTTTGGATGAGGACGTATCATTCATTTTTTCCCCTTCTGTTTTAAGAATCTGAAGCTAGTTTTGTAAGATGAAAATATGCAAATCATAGACTCCATCTGGTTCTTATTACAAGCTTTAAATAACTAATTCATGAGTAAAGAACAATTAGTTAAAATTAGTTAAAAACAATAAATGGGTTAGAAATATACTTTTGTTTCCAAATATGTCCTTATAATGAATGAGAAAATGATGAGAGAGAATGTATGGGGAAATGTGATAAGAGAGAAATAATTAAGGGCAACATTGAAAAAAAATACATTAAATAGACCACACCCCTTCCTAAGTTTGAAGCTTATAAATAGGACTGGAGGGAGTACTTTTCAAGTGATTATGTATAGATAGGGTTTGGAGATTTTGGTATGACCATTGAAGTAATTTGAACACTGCAAGGCAAAAAATGAATTCTATATGGAGTTCAAATGTGAGTTTGAATATTGTTTAAACATGCTAAATAGACATTAGATTAATTTGTGTGTCCTGTATGCTCAACTGTACTCTCAGGGATCAAAAACCTACAGAAAAGCAGAAGTGTCATTGCATAACAAGAGAACAGACTGCTGGATAATAATCAAGAACAAGGTATGGCCTTATATTGCAGCTTTAGGCGCCTTTACAAACTTGATACGTCAAGCAGCTCTAATCCCAAAAGCTTGTGTCACATACATAAAGCTCTTGGTCAAAGCCAATAGGCATCTCCAAATTACTTCTTCAACTTGCCAGTGAATCCTTAGACTACATTCTATGCTTTTAGAATAATTCTGCATTCCCCCCCCCCCCCGGGGCAACTGATGCATAATTTGCATTTACTTGTGCCTCATCTTCTGCAGGTTTATGATGTGACCTCATACGTAGAGGAACATCCAGGTGGTGATGCCATTCTAACACATGCAGGAGATGATTCAACCGAAGGGTTTTACGGGTATGAATATTTTTGCTTTGAGATATTCCTCTTTACCACTTGGGTGCAAATTAACCACTATACTTTTCTCATTTCCCCTCTATCCATATTTCTTAAGTGAATATTTTAAATTTATTCTTCCCATAAACTGTTCCTGGTTCCTTTCTGGTATATAACTGGAAATAATAAATAAACTGAAGCATGATGTTGTATTGGTTTAGCCACTTAGGTTAGCCAACAAAGGTTTGACCATAACTTGTATGGTCGTCTTTGTATATATTCCATAGTTCTTCTTGTGCCCTTCAACTGAGGAGTAGAAACATTGCGACAACCAACTTTCAGATTTACTTGCTATTCGTTGTGCTCGTAATGAAAGATGTAGTTGGTTGGCAGGAGTTGGTTCAAAGTTTGCTTTGTCATATAGCCCCAAAAAAAAGAAAAAAATAATAATAAATAAAGAATGTGTAATATCTGACTGCAATTCTGTTTTCTTTACATAATATCTTTACTGCCATCTCATCCGCGTACTCTGCCATCCAAGCTATTTCATGGTAAGTGCGTCTTCACCATGGAATCTAGGGATGACCTAAGATGTCAATAAAAGATGGTATGTGGTTCAAATTAGAATCTTTGGAAAAAAAAAAAACTAAAAGGCTGAAAGAAGAACCATACAAAAGAAACAGGGAGGGTTACACTACCATATATTTAACTCCAAAACCGCCTACATCCTAAGTAGAGTCAGGTTAGTGAACATCAAACGACTCATATTGAGATTTTTACCCCAAAAAAAAAAAAAAAAGACTAATATTGAGATCATGGGCAACTTTAGGAATCCAATTCAGCATCTATTGGCTTTCCTATAAATATAATTGAAAAACGATGTCACATTCCCTAGTGAGATCCTGATTTTGTCAGTAAGGTTGTTCCCTGTGTGATGAGAGGCATTGTTTCTTCTAATTTTGTTAATTTTCTCTAGAATCATCCGACCAACACTTGTCAAAATCCCCCTTCCCAACACATTGAGATCTCCAAGAATGCCATCTAATTCAAATTTGAACTTCGACTATTAGTGCCGCTGCATTGCCAGCATGAACCATTGAGAACATGCTTATTTTCATAATAAACTTGATCCCATGCCTGATTGGTAATGCATTTCTGTTCCATTTTCTTATCTGTAAATTCGCAAGTCCACTATTTTTATTTTAATGTCCTCTCTTCTCTCTCTTGTATGATTCTTTACTCACACGTGGCAGGCCACAACATGCAACTCGAGTCTTTGATATGATTGAAGACTTCTACATTGGAGATTTGGAGCATTAGCTAGATCAGTTGTTTGCGACATTTTTAGAGATGCATGACTTGAGAATCTTAATCTTGTACTACTATTTCTTGTCGATTGAATGAACTTTCTTAGATACTAATTGAGAAGCCCTTTGTTCATTTGTGGGTGCTTAACCACTACATGTTCAACAACTGATACTTTTGTTCCCTGTGATAATCACCAGGTGCCTGCTGTTTCAGTATGTTGCATATTAGATGAGGAAACTTTCTTTTGCCCCCCCCCCCCAAAGATATATTTAGGGCTACGAGTAACAAATGTGTCAAACACTGGTGAGATTGATGAAGTAATCTTGTTATGCGTGTAAACTGAGGTAATATGGACAATAAGTTTGTAATAGGAGAATTTAGCATGTACTACCTCTTGTCTTTAATATAAGATTCAGTTGATTAATTTGAAAAGATTAAAGAAGTTACTAAATTACTTAATTATGACATATGTTACATGATTTTTTTAGAATGATTGTGTGTATGTGATCGTACTTATCGCTAGCGCTTCAAATTAGTTACTAGTATTAACCCTATTTGGTTTATAGGAGCTAACCCTAGGTCGGTCTCTTGTGGAGTCAAAGCCTAGCTTTAAAACAACTTTTAAGTTGAATTACATGATTAAAGAGAAATAAGGAGTAGAAGAGAATGTTGATTTTAAATTAAGGTGAACAAGAGAATGTAAAAATTAGAGATAGTGAATAAAAAAAACTTTACTGATAAGATGAGCTTTTTAAGGATCGATGTGTGGCTATCTCGGTCCAAAAGTTAATAAGAGTTGATAAAAAGAAGATTAATAAGTCAAAATATAAACCCTAGGTGAACACGTAGGCCATAACTACTTAATTAATATCTATACCTAGAACTAGTATACAAATATCAACTAAATAATTATTTTTTTAGAACCACTTAGCATGTGAAATTCAATACCAGTTATAATTTGTTCCTCAAAACAAGAATATCCAAACGATATATTCTTAAAAAGCAAGCGAGTGCTAAACTTAATTCATAACTATTCATGCAATCCTAAAAATAACATACTAGAATAACATGAAATAATTATGGGAGGGAAAAAGATTTATAAAGAAGTTCACAAATTATAACTGAAAAAGAAATTCTCATTAATAATCAAAAGAATCACATATAAGACTTTCAAAATCTAAAATTAGGAAATCATAAAAACTTACATATGAAAGATATAAAACTCTAGTTACAACTCATCAAAATTAATGCATAGGACTCAAGTCATAATATCTCTCCTCAAGAACAAGGAGACTAGCCACTCATGTGGCTAGAACACATCATATTGATAAAGAAAGAAAACAAAAATATAGAGATGAAAGTAAAGAGAATTTGACGCTTTAGTGATGCTTGTGGAGAGTGTAGAGAGTGAGTGAAGAAGACGTGACTTACTTCTTGTCTTTGGACCTCCTTTTATAGCCTTGGCTGACCCCCTCCTTACCTCCTTATAGAATAAAGATTATGATCTTTACTTTATTTTGGACTCTTGATATTTGCTTGGAAAATAAGTGATCAAATTAATATTTGAATTAGGATAAAAGATGACTTAAGTTTATTTGAATTAATGCTTAGGATAATGAGAAGCTTAGTTGGCACAATGTGAGTAGAAGTAGGGAGGGTTTAGGATAATTCAAATTATTAAAAGGGAAGACTTGGAGAGAAAGTAAAGAGATTTAGTAGGAGTTTTTGATTTATTCAAATATGGATTTGGGATATAATTAATTTAAAGAAGATATTTTAAGATATTATTTAATTAGATATTAACAATTCCTCTTTTAATTAAATTTGCAATACCAAAATTGCTTTTCATTAATGAGGTGACACTTCCTTTGACTTGATGGGAAAGAAAACCCTGTAAAATCACCTCCTACCCTTTTTTAATGGTGATCCACCTTTTTGAACAATGAAAAAAATGCTATTTGGGCTTAAATGGAAGTGTTAGGGCCCATTTGAGAGGTATAAGTGGTAAGTTAACATGCATAGGCCCTAATTATGCTGTAAGTTGGCCCAAATGCATTCTTGAGGCCCTGAAATCTATTGATTTTTCAACACCTATGTTTTTTTCCCAATCCGTTTGGGCTCCAAAGCCTACCTTCCTTGAGCCATTATCACTTTGCAATAATGTATTAGGCCCAACTTAGATTCAAAGCTCCTAATTACTCTGAAATACACAAGAAAGTAGAGATATCTTTGTGTAGATTAATTTAACTAAGAAAACATAATAATTAGATCCATTTTAGCATTTATTTATACAATTCCTTGTTAGCTCAAATTATTGACAACTATTGCAATTAAGCATAAAATTCTCAAAATATAGATACAAATATACAATAAAATAGGAATACATCAGTATCATTAGAAGGGTGTTTGGATTACCTAAGAAGTGCTTTTAAAAAGCACTTTTTTTGTAAATTGAAGCAAACTCCTCCATATATAAAAGCACTTTTAAAAATATAGTTTTGTTTCTATCCAAACACTTCCTAAATTATATATCAATTCATAAAATGAGTCAAATTAATTTGGAAAAAAATGATAAATATAAATGCTTTTTTTTTTTGGCCAAAGAAATGTATTCATATCATTCAAAGAAAAAAAGTCTACAGAACATCAATGCAAAAACTAGAAAAAAGAAACTGGCTCCAAGGCCAAAAAGTGTCAGCAACAAAACACAAAACGAGAATTCTAAATGAAAGTACAATGGAACACTCTGCAACTGAATAATGCAAGCCAACTTCCAATGCTTCAACGAACAAGAAAACGGCTATAGAAGGTGGTAGTCTTGAGACTTGCTCAACAAATGAGCCCAACTTCTTTGACGCCAATGCTGCATCTTCAATCGCAGCTTTAATCCACTCCCTTAAAACAAGAGAGGAAGGAAGGCACTAGAATCCAAAATGGACCTCCAGGACAAGCAGCATACAGGAACTAGTCCATACATCATTCAGCCTAAGGGCACCAACGTCTAACCACAACACTCTATTTATAACCAAAGATAAAACCAGAGGCTTCTGAAGACAATCATATTCTCCAGGTGGAACCCATCTCAAATCATCCTGCTTTTTTAGAATAACCTGTCCCAAGTTTGCATAATTTCTTTTCTTGCAAATAATAAAGGCAAACCAAAAATATAAATGCTTTAGAGTAATTTAATAATATTTTCAATCTTTTTAAATTAGTCAACTGAGTTTTATATTAAGGATCAAAAGTAGTATTTCTCAAATAAACTGATATATATCATAGGATTTTTATCCCAGTGAATTAAACTTTTAATTATTATCCTACTTTCAAGTGCTTGGCAATTGATCTTCCATTGGGGCTACGGATAGATACAAGTTACCAATCTTAAATCGGTATCATGGGGCTAAACTTTGCCACTCTTGCGGGCAGGAAAAAAAATTACAGAACTGGATTTTTTACACTTATTCGAGATGAATCCTATTTGTAAGTGTCTTAATGGGTAATCAGCCTTGCCAAAGCACATGGTTAAATGTCTATCAACAAGTTTTTTTTTTCCTTAGATTCTCGGGACGAAAATTATTTTGTTGCTATGGGTATCATGGAGCCGAGGACCATCGAACTTTATTTTCCTCTATTTCGGAATGATATGTTTGATTATCAATTGCCGTAAATTAAAATCAAATAATGAAATGGATATCAATTTATTTTCAGTTATTAAAATCTTAACTACTAATATTTAATATTTGATTTGAATAGTTCATAACAAAAGTAAAAAGAAAAAAAATCCACTTCTTAAAATACTCTAATAATAATTTGCAATTATAAATTGCTCAAATCAAGTATCCTAAGTGTATAAAGCTAAATGCCTAAGTTTTCTTCTTATGAAACATTTACTTCGCAATAATAATAATTTTCAGATTATAAAATTATTTTGGAAAAATATTTATGATAAATTTTAAAAAATCAACCAATAATACGTACATATTTTGTTCTGTAAACCAATATATGCACACATGCATTAAATTATTAAAACTTTGGCCCTACTGATGATTTTTGTCCAACTCCGTCCTTGTAAGTAATCTGATTCATCTTAGGCAAGTTTTCATCTTTAACTATTTGCTCATTTTCTGAATAAAAACTTGCCAATTTTGAGATTCAAAAATGAGATACTCAATGAAAAGGAATTAGTCGCCGCCTGTTTCATGGGGAAAAGGCCATGGAAATAATTAGGTAAATTTTCTTACTTTCATATTTTATTTTATTTTTCATTTTTTATCCACATCACTTACAATCTTATTTATTGGGAAATAATATTTCAACAGGATTGGTATAAAAAAAGTGAAAGAGGATCATTTTATGTGAATAGGGAGCGGAAAAAAGAATGAGAATATTAATGAAACTTATTTAATATCTCATTTAGTACGTTTTAGACAGGAATGAGAACAATTTTTTTCATACAAGAACGAGAATAATTTTTAGATAGGATAAAACATAATAAAAATTAAAAAGACAAAGTAGTAATTTACTAATTTTCCTTATTATCAAATTTTCAGAAATAAACAAAAGGGCAAATTTGACTTTTTATATCTTATTCCAAATTATACAGTATTATTCCATCAACCCAACTAAGAAATGATCAAAGCATGGTCCAAGGTAAAATGCATGATTAAAAAAAATTTTACGCATCAAACATTGCATTTTGATAATGTGATCCTCTTATGGCTAATTGAGATCCGGATTTACATTAGGTGCTCATCAGATCTGGACTGTCTAAATTTATTTTTATTTTTATTTTTATTTTTTAAAAAATAATTATTTTAACAGGTATAAGATAAAAAATAAAAATAATCTCTTAACTATTATTCTTTAAAAATATTTTTTTTCTATTTTAAAATAATTATTTAATAATATTAAATCTGGACCGTCTAGATCTAATCTGAACGGTCCAGATTACTCATCAGGTGATGAGTACTGAATGGGGACCCATTGAGATCCTGATATCTCTTGCATGCTTTTCTCATAAGAAAAATAGAGTTGTGTGATGGCCAGTAGCTATGGATGAAAGAGGACAAGCAAAAGGCTGTGCGAAAATGTTATGAAAGGCTCGAAATTGAAGATTGAGTCCCACTGCACTGAAGGCTACAAAAGGAAAGCAACGAAGGCATTAAGAAATTTCAAATTAAGCTCAAAGGCTTTGATACCATTTTGCTTGGAAAAGAAGCTATGATCCCAAGTTAAATGACTAGAAAATTCATATATTCTTTGCAAGAAAAAGACCCTGATGTATTTATTTTAATTTTATACAATTTAAACATGCACATACACAAATATATGAAGATCAAGCTCCACTGCTCGAGTATGAGATTTTATCTAAGTATAGTAGGTGGCACTGTCATTTAAACAACTTGCCATTGACAATAACGTATTTACAAGAGTTGAGAGCTTCAAAGGATAAGATGAATTTACAATTTCATCCCTAAGATGAAGGGCAAAGTACGATTGCGTTTCTAGACGTTAAACTACCTACAGCAGATTAAACAAATACAAAAACAATTAAAAAATACCCCCTTTTTTTGGTTGCTCGACACTAATAAAAACACACTTTTGTGCTGAAGAATCGTGATTTGAATGGGTAACCAAAAAATGGGACTACGATTCAAACAGCCTTACAATCAATGACGGATGGCCCAAACAACAGAAGAGACCAGTTGATCTGTCAACGTCCTTTTACTCCAAAGGTCATGCTGCTCATTAACCCTCAAAAGGTGGGGCAACGAGACACAAGAGAGATACTGAACCTATTCACTAGAAGTAGAAGCCTTGTCTCCTATATATCATGTTTCTTGGGCTGACGCCATTGCATAAAACTTCTGGACCAAGAACCGAGGAATGAGTTCTTGCGAGCTAATCCTTTCTTTCCAAATAAGTGTTTTCCCCCCAAGTCTGTGAATACCGGGCGCATGTCCTTGCTTCTCTGTATTCTTTCGATCTGCAGAACATAAAATAACGTGTTGGTTCTGCAACAAATCATGAGTTTTCACATATTTCGAGGCAGAGCTTGGGTTGAGTGGGATTCTGCTTCATTGGTGGGCTTCAATTCAGGATTTGTTAGTGTACAGAGCAGATTATTAAAACATGTACAGGGAATTATAGATGACAGGTTGGAAATAATGGCGGTTCTTATGTATAGGGAAGGAAACATTTGTGCAGATTGGCATGCTAATTCTGGAATCTGGTCTGCAGGTTCATATGATTCCAATTTTCTACTTGTTATTCATATTTCATAGTTAATACTCCAATTCTCTCCCAATTGGGATTTTGCTTAGAAAGCAATATATATACAATATGCTTCATCTAACATAAGCAAGTAATGTCTTACTGAGGCTGACACAAGGCATTGAACAACCTACCCTGCTTACTTTTCCATTTTCCAAATAGTACAGAGTACCAGACCAATTGATATGTTGAGATAAACGAGAACGAATGGCAGATACCGGATATAGAAAGTTATCCACCAACATCGCTATGAACACCTGCTCAGTAAATATTAATTGATAGCTTTATCAGCAAGTAATCTCACATCCTTCGGTACAAACTGAATCCTACATATTAACATGTTTACATTTGTTTATATAAAGGAAGCTTAGAGAAATACTTACAAGACACCAATTATAGGAAGTAAGAGAAAGCCGGGGTGCCTCCGGGGACAAAAGGTTGCACAGATGAACTTCTATCCTTGTCAAGTTCCACATTGAAAAAAGAGCAATGAAAGTGCATATAGTTAAGAAGCTGACCAGTGATAACCCTGCGTGAAAAGCATAAATCAAACTACAAGAAATGAGAACATCTTAATCATGCATTTCTCCACCATGGTGGATGATTTTTCTCATTCTCCCAAGCCTTGTAGTATAGTGATCATGCAATGTAATAACTAAAAATGGCATGAAATAATAACACTAGGAAAAGTAGAATGATCACCGTAAGCCATTTCCTCAGATGAGTACCCTTTGATATAAAATCTTAACGCTGCCAAAACATGAATAATTGCCATGAAGTATGGCGCTACAAATCCCCATGACAGATAACAGTGAGCAGCAAATAATACACGGTTCATTATCCAGTTAGCCCTTGTTACATATGACTCCAACACAAATGTTTGTTTTCGTAAGTAATTCCAGTACCTGATCATGGATTAAAAAGTCAAACAGAATAAAACTATAACACAACTTTGATGAGTATGTGAATGCGTAACAAACCTTCCAAAATTAAGATCACTGGCAAGTGGATGAGGAAACACAGCAACTGGAGGAGAATAGATGAGTTCTTTGTGAGCCCCTGAAAAGGAGAACATTATAGTAATATGTTATGAAACAGAATGGAATTTGGTCAAAATAAATGAATGAAGGAATGAAAGAAAAGGAAATAGTTCTTAAAAAATTTAGTCAAGATCTTGAAACCAGAGACAGATCTGGACTTTGTTTTTGTCAAAGATTTACCAGCTATAGCTGCAAGAGTCATATCATCAGAATATCCACCATCTTGAAGTCCGGAGACTACACCACAACGATCTTGCCTAAAGTCATCAGCATGCATCTGAAGACATTTGAATAGTTAGAATCCGCTTTACCTTTTCTGATGCACTAATCAAAGCAAACAAAAAGTAGAGGTTACTTGCCATCATGCAACCTCCCCACAGAAAAAAAGTTTTCCCACCAGTCGCAAAGCCCATTGAACATGGCTGTGAGAAGGTTAAAAAACAACAAACTTAAGCTAATATGATATAATGAAAGACACATGGAAAGCCATCAGGCCCATCAATGACATGTTAAGTATCCAGTGATTTCTGAAGGCTCCAGTTAAATTCATTTTGTGAGACTTCTTACAGTGAATCACCTTTCACCAGAAATGCATAAAGCACACAATCCTATATGGGAAGGAGGGAGGGTGAAGGGGGGAGCACACAAGTGAGTGAAGATACTATGACAGTCGCAGTTGGATACCATATGGTATTCATAGATGCAGTAGCTTCCAAGACTTCCAGATGGCAAATCGAGAGGGTATCCAGTTTGAATAAATATCTGTTAAGCATCAAAACACTTGAGAACATGATTATATAATATAGGCAAGTAGAACCTCTACTGCTATAATTAAACAAGAAGAAATAAGTATTTTAAGTTATACCTTAGGGTTTTTCTCCATCTCTTTGGTGAGCTCTCCAATTGTTCCAGGATGTAGCCTAACATCATCATCTAAAAACAATACATATTTGCTGTCTTTACGCATATTTTCAACTCCAACCTGCCCATGTGCTTACAGTGTCTATTACTAGGGCAAATGAAACAAATCATATTATAAAGAACGACCTAACCGATCAACACAAATGAAAAAGCCCTGTACATTTCCATACCAATGTATAAGCCAATGTAACATACCAACTGATTGTGAATCTTTTGACTACAAGTTGTTGCAAAATCAGCCACAATAATCCTAGCATTAACGTTATCCTGCATGAACAAATATAACATCAAAGTTGGTAAGGTACAGGTACAGATATCAAAAGACGCTCAAAACAAAATTAAAGCTCTGCCACCGCATCAAGAAGCCAAGAATCTAGCCTTAACATGGAATTCTCATTTTTCACTTCTTCCAGGTTTGGATAAAGAGGGGGATGATGTACTTAAATGAGTTTATATATCAGCTTGTAGAACATAACAGCAAAACTATAAACAGGTCTCTGAAATAGGAAATAAATCTCAATCTGTTTCAGGACTATGTATACCTCATATTCTGATAGCAGTAGTGATATAGCATGGTAAGCAGGATCCTCTGTGCTTTCTACCACAAAAAGAAATTCTAGAGAGCCCCCGTAGAGAGATGTTATCTACGTTTGTTAAATAACAGAAGTGAACCTCAAATAAGAAGCATAATGGTCATACAGCAATTTATAAACAGAATAGAGTCAAACACCACAGTTCATAAAATGTGCAAAATACTAAAAAAATCATACAACTTAAATTTCAATAAGAAACTAGATATATTTATGCAACCTACAGTGAATTCATTCAAATTTGGGATAAACACAATATGTAGAGAATAAATGTTGATGTAAGCACTCATAATAATTAAGTTAGATATAAAATTTCCAATCCATAAAGAACCAAACAAGCGCAACAAATAGTAGTTTAGAAAGAAAGAATCACAAAGGAAAGAGTTGGGAAATGCATGGGCTTGGCCTACAAGCCCTTAAGCTCAAGCTCAGAAGCCTTGTTTATCTGATTTGGTCATTTTTTGAAACCTAGCCCTAGTTGATCGGGCTCAAAGCTAGGCTTGAAAGCCTGGATAATATCATTTTCCTTTTCTCAATGTAAGTTTCACATGGTCACAATGCATATCCAAAATCCAATTTGAATAATACAACAATAAACTCTATAGGACCAAATTAAAATGCTTTAAAATACAAATTTAAAGGAAAAATATAAATTTTCTAAAGTCCAAGTTATAAATATACAATTAAATTTTTCTTGATATCTCATCTTCATCATCAGAATAAAAA